TAATAATAATAATAATAATAATAATAATAATAATAATAATAATAATAATAATAATAATAATAATAATAATAATAATAATATAATAATAATAATAATAATAATAATAATAACAATAATAATAATAATAATAATAATACTAATAATAATAATAATAATAATAATAATAATAATAATAATAATAATAATAATAAATAGCAATTTAACACAATTTTTTGCATAATAAATTGTCGTAATTAATGCAATCAAGAAATTATTCGGCTATTGTCATTTTATTTTTATAAGGTACAAATGAATTAAACACACATTTTTTGTTTTTTTTGAATTGAAATTTTGGAAGGAAGAAAATAGAGCTTCGACCGATTTGATTGCCAAATACTCGCCATTATTGAAAAATTATCTATTTCAAGCTAATATTAATTACATTAATAGATTTATTTAAATCTAAATTTGTAACGAAATTTAAATAATAATTTCATTGTAAAAAAAATAGGAAGGTTTACCTAATCTGTCATTAACAATCATATGCATAGAAAATCGTTATAATTTCATCATAATTTCATCGTAAGATATTCATGAAGTAAAATGATGAATTGAATTATTACACCATGATATAACATGGTAATTTTAAAAAAAAAAGAAAAGAAACCTAAAATTTGAAATGATAATAGAAGTGATATTTTATCAATTCAGATATTTCTAATTTTAGATACTAAATTTAACCTGAAATATTACTTAACTTTTTAAAATTTTTAAATAATTCACGGTCATAGTTAGCTTTCAAAATTATGCTAACAAAATTGAATAATTAAGAAAATTAAAATTTGCAAAAAGTAAATAAAGAATAAATATGGCGCCAATATGTGGCGCAAAAATTATGAAAGAAGAGAAAAACAAGTCTACTCTTTCTATCAGTTAATATTGATCACCAGCATTTCCCGATAAGTATTTTTAATTCGATCAATGTCACCGATTTATACTGCTTCCTTAGACAGTAAGTAATTTTCTTTAATTGGTTAATTTTAGGCTAATAATAATAGCTTAAAATAATTATTGCTATTTTGTGTACCACTCTGTCAGCGATATAATCCATTAATTTAAAAACTAAAATTTGCTTCAAAAATAAAAGCGAATTTTTTTTTCAAATCAAAATTTAATCATAATTTTGCATTGTTAATTTTAGGTATTGAAATTTTCATAAAATCATACTACCTAATGTAATAACAATAATTTTTCCTGCGGGAAAGATTGGAAAAAAATTTTGAATTTTAAAATAATTAATGAAATTTTCAAATAATTGACATTTGTTTATACTTTGTTTTTTTTTTTGTTTATATTTTAGATTTAAAAAAAAAAAGTTTTCTTTGCAAACGAAGTTTTTTCTTTTCTTTTATTTTACTTAGGTTATCCGTTGAAATGTTCCAAGAAGACGAAGAACGAAAAGTTGAGGATGCTATCCATGAGCTTCATGTACTGTATATGAAGTATGGTAATTGCATATTTTTTTATCATTGAAAAAATTTTACATTTTGAAATATTTATATTCGAAAAAAAAGACAATGAAATCAACTGATAAAGAATTTTGAAACAAAAAAAAAAGTTTTGACCTTTTAAAATTTGAACTATTTCAAATTTCGTCAATTTTGTTTTATTTTATTTTGATTTGTTATCGAGGAAATTGAATTAAATTCATTATTTCATCACTTTTTTCTTTCATCATTTCATCATTTATTTTTTTTTAAATTCATTTTTTTTTTTTTTTTTGTATTGATGCTATAATGAAGATTGAAAAGTAGTAAAAATTAATTGAGAATTGTTAATCAGAATTTGAATAGGATTAATGAGACTTAAAATTATCATGCTTTTAATTATTAAATTATCGATGGTATTAATTATATTACCTTAAATAATTTTTATTTTTTAGGTTACTAATAATTTTTAATTTTTGTAATTCTCTCAGATAATTTTTAATCCTCATAAGTATCATTTATATATTTGGCCTGTATTATGTGTTAAAAAAAAAAAAAAGAAATGTTTCGTCAAATTTTAATGATCCTTTGGGAATTTAACTTATCATACATAATAAAAAGAAAAAAAAGTTTTTTACGTATTACATGTAAAGAAACAAAAGAAAAAAGTGAAAAAATAAAAAATCCATTAAATGATATGTAAATGTATTTCAGTTTTATATTCTATCAGAAGAGGAAATTTCTTTTTCCAATCCTTTTTAATTTTTTAACTATTAATTAATTATTAAATTATAAAATTATTTGGTTACAAACTATTTAATTTATGATCGAAATATATATTCAAAAAAAGAATGGAATAAAATTTGATTAATTAATTAAATCTAATTATAATTAAATTGTTTTATAGTTTATGCTGATGAAATTTTTAGAAATTTCATATATTTATTAAATCTAACTTCATGCAAAGATATATGAATTATTTGAGTAAATGGATAATTCAGTACCTTTTTCTATTTCAATTTTCGTGAAATTGATGGAATATAAGGATAAAACATTTTCAAATTTGCTTCATGATTATACAGTGCCAGGTTTATACTATTAAGGTTTTGATTGTTTATTTCAATGTAATTTATTTATTTCCATTATCCAATTAAACTATTACTTAAATTCAGGGATAGTTTCCCCCCCCCCAAAAAAAAAAAAAAAAA